AAGAGGTCTATCCAATTTTGGCGTCTGTTATTTGGAAGACTGAATCTCACACAAAGATTCTCATACAATTCTCAAAGAGGAAATACTATAACTTAGAAGGACAACAACCAAAATGTCAACATTCTTGCTTGTCTATTGTGAGGCTAGTCACCGTGAGCTGGGAGGAGGAAACAAACAGTGTGTTCCATCACTGGGCACGACTAGGACTTTCAGTACCACAGCCAATTATTGGGAAACATTCCTGAGACTGAGAACAGCATGATACTCTCACACCTGCTACTTATGCATGGTTCAGGGGACAACATTTATTCAGTCATTGGTCCCTAGAAGAGAAAATTATGCAGACTCTCACACATTACCTGAGTGCTCCCAGACCATGAGAAAAAATAACCAGAGGATACTTTTCACCAGTCCTCAGAGGAGAATTCCACTTTGCTGGAATTGTCTTTGAACCTACATAACATGGGAGATTACAGTTAGTATTTTCTCTGCCCTGAATTTTGCTAGATATTTTAAGGTACATCTTTTTAAAAAAATTTTTTATTGTATTTATGTATTTCTTTTTTATTATACTAGTTTATTTACAAAATGCTAATACACTGTTTTTCAGACCAGATTCTTTCAATTTCCCTCACCTCCCCAACCCATCAAATTGTGCAACCCCATGATTAATACCCCCATACATCTTTTATGTACATTTTTATTATAGCATAAAATCCTTAGCCATTTAATCTATATTTGTATTGATTACTGTAATAGGGATGTCTGATGGCCCAGTAGGTGAGGAGCTGAACTGCCAACACAAAGGCATGCTGCTTAAAGGAAATCATCAGTTTCTCTATGGGAAAAAGTTGGGCAATCTCCACCCCGCCCCGACCCCCGTGGTTATTGCAGCATGTGAAAACATGTTGGAGGGTCAGCTTTTAGTGGGTTCTGAGTAAGTAGAACATAACAACAACAACAACAACATCGGTAACTAATGATTACCTCCTGTGGCCTGTTGCTGTTGTCAGGTTGTATTCGGTCCAGTAGGACTCATATCAACCCTCTGAACAACAGATCTGAATCCTGTCCTATCCTGTGCCATCCTCACAATCTCTGACATACTTGAGTTCACTGCTGCAGTCACTGTCTTAATCCATCTCATTCCTCTTTTTCACTGGCCTCCCACTTTCCAAGCATGGTGTCCCTCTCTAAGGAATAACTTCTCCTAGAAACATGGTCAAAGTATGAGAAATGAAACTTCACCACCTTTGCTTCCAAGAAGCACTCTGACTGCACTTTTTCCAAGACATATATCTCCCTTCTTTTGAAGTCCATGGGATATTCAGTTCTATTCTCCCTCACCACAAGTCAAAGACATAAATTCATCTTCTGTTATCCTTATTCGTTGCCCATCTCTCATATGCATAGCAAGCAATTGGAAAGATTCCAATCAGAGGTCACTTTAGTTCTCAAACTAACATTATTGCTCCTCAGTAATTTGAAGAGGTCCCCGACTGCAGACTTTCCCAGTGCAATACATTTCCTGACTGCTAGTACCAAGGGTGTGGATTGTTGATCAAAACAAGATTAAATAAGGGACAACTTCAACTCTTTTTCCATGTATCATGATGTTGCCTATTGGCCCAGTTGTGAGGACCTTTGTTTCCTTGATATTGAGATGTAATCCATACTGAAGGCTATATATAGTCCTTGATCTTCTGCTGTGTTTCAAGTTCTCTTCACTTTCAGCAAGCAAGGTTGTGCCATCAACATAGCACAGATTGTTGATGAGTCTTCGTCTGATCCTGACGCCACATTCCTATTCATAGAGTCCAGCTTCATGAATTATTTGCTCCACATAAACACTGAATTGTTATGGAGAAAGGACACAACTCCTGACATACACCATTCCTGACTTTAAACCACGAAGTATTCCCTTGCTCTGTTTGTACAACAAATTCTTAACCTAGGTATAGATTTTGCATAAGCACAATTAAGAATTCTGGAATTCCCATCCTTCTCAATGTTAGCTATAGCTTGCTATGATCCCCACGGTCAAATGCTTTGCACAGTCAATAAAACACAAACAGATCTTATTCTAGTATTGTCTGCATTCAGTCAATATGCATCTGACATCAACAGTGAAAACCCTGGTGTTATGTCCTCTTCTAAACTTAGCTTGAACTTGGCAGTTCTGTTAACGTACAGTTCTAGCTGTTTGGGGAAGATCTACTGCAATATTTGGCTTGTATATGTTATTAATGATATTGTTTTATAATTTCCACATTCTGTTGGGTCACTTTTCTTTGAAATAGGAAAAAATATTGGTTTCTTCCAGTTAGTCATCCAGGCAATTGTCCTTCAAATTTCCTAATATAGACTGGTAAGCATGTCCAGAGTTCCATATGTTAGTACAAACAACTCAATTGGTGTCCCATCAATTCCTGGAGTTTTATTTTTGTGCCAATGTCTCAGGGCACCTTGAATGTCTCCCTTCATTACTATTGGCTCTTATTCATATGGTACTTTCTGAAATTTTTCAGTGTTGACCAATTCTTATTGGTACAGTGACTCGGTTTTCCTTCCATCTTTTTTTGATGCTTCCTGGATTGTTCAAGATTTTGGCCTTAGCATCTCTCAGTATTCCAACTTTAGGCTTGAATTTGTTTTTAAGTTCTTCCATCTTGAGAAATGCTGAAACAGTTCTTCTCTTTTTATTCTCTGACTCCAGCTCTTTGCACAATTGCTTATAATATTTTGCTTTGTCTTTTTGAGCTTTCCTTTGAAATCTTCTATTCCTCTCTTTTACTTTGGCATCTCTTGTTTTGGCTTCTCTATACTCTAATGAAATTTTCAGAATGTTTATTCTGGCATCCATTTTGGTTTTTCTTTCTCCTCTGCCTTTGTAATGACCCTTTTCTCTCTTCATAGCTGATGTCACCCCACAACTCATCTAGTCTTCTATCAATGGTGTTCAATGTCTCAAACCTGTTCTTGAGATGATTCTTTTTTTTAATTTTATTTTCTTGTTTGTGTGTGTGTACTATCAAATCAGATCTGATTGGTACAGGGGGAAATTGTTCCTCCTTTTTCAGCAGAGCATCTGATGGATTTGAACCATGCACCTCTGGGATTGCAGTGCAGCTTCTTACCACTAGGCCACCAGAGCTCGCCGAGATGATTCTTAAATCAAGGTGGGGCAGACTCAAGGTTGAATGTTGGTTCTTGTGGACTAGATTTAATGTTCTTCAACCTCAATTTGAACTTTCACATGAGTAGTTAATGGTCCTCTCCATGGTCAGCACTTGGCCTAATGTTGACTGCTGATATTGAGCTTCTCCAGTGATTCTTTCCAAGATATGGTCTGATATAATCAGATAAAGTCAATATGATTCCTGTGCAGTCAATGTCGATTCTCGGTGGCCTAGCCGTAAAAATTGCAAAACAAAAGCTTGGGTTTCAAATCTGCCAACTGTTTCAAGGGAGAAAAATGGGCAATCAACTCTGATGCAATTCAGTCCTTCTGAAAACCTGTGGAGGTTCAGCTATGAGTTGGTCTCAACTCAATGATAAATAATAACATATATATGAAACACTGTATATTAAAAGACATATTGCAATGGGAAAATCTGCTGTTAGGGACCTCTCCAAAGTACTGAAGAACAATGGTGTCTCTCTGGAGACTAAGGTGCATCTGATACAGGCCATGGTCTTTGCAATTACTTGTTATGCATCAGAGAGTTGGACAATGACTAAGGACGATAGAAGGAGAATTGATGCCTTTGAGCTGTGGTGCTGGAGAAGAGTATTGAGGATACCATGGACTGCTAAGAAAACAGATTCATCCTGGAAAGAGTTAAACCGGGCGGCTCCCTGGAGGCAAGGATTCTGAGGCTCCGTCTAACATACTTTGGACATGTTGTAAGGAGGGACCGGTCCTTGGAGAGGGACATCATGCTTGGGAGGGTGGAGGGATGGCGCAGGAGGGGAAGGCCCTCTATGAGGTGGACTGATTCAGTGACTGGGGTAATCGGGATGGGAGTGTCAGAGGCAGTGCGATTGGCACAGGACAGAGCAGAGTAAAACTTCCCCAGAAAGCTTTCCAAGGGTATAATCTTTATAGAAGCAGACTGCCACTCCCATGGAATGGGTTGTGGGTTTGAAAAGCTGGCCTTTCAGTTAGCTTAGCATTCATGTGTTTAACCACAGCACAACTAGGGCTTCTTCTCAGAACGGAATGATTTATTAATTATCAGTTCTCACTTTATTGTGATAGATTGTTCCTAATTGCATTCTGGAAGACTGCTATTAATTGCCATCCTCAGGTCTTGGCATAATTTTAGAGGCAATGGTCTGAAACTGAACTACCCAGCTGTCATTGTTTTTTTCATGTTGCTGTGTGTGTGGGGGGAACCCAGAAGTGTATAATTTTAAAGAACAGAAACTAATTTTATCACAGTTAAAGGAGGCTAATATCTAAATGTAAGGAGAAGTCCTAATAACACTTCTGTTTTTGTTAGGTGCCATTAAGTTGTGTACGGCTCAGAGCAAGTCTATGAACAACAGATCTGAATCCTATCCTAAATTTTGCCATTTTTACAGTCTATGACACACTTGAACTCATTGCTGCAATTACTGTGCCAATCCACCTAGTTAAAGGTCTTCCTGTCTTTTGCCATCCCTTTACCTTCCCAAGCATCTTCCAGTGCTCCTAGAAACATGCCCAAAGTATGTGAGATGAAGCTTCATCATCTTTGCCTCCAAGGAGCTCTCTGGCTGCACCTTCTTCAGACATGTTTGTTCTCTTTTTTAAGAAAAACATACAATTTTATTTTATTTTTCTTGTTGTGTACCATTAAATCAGATCCAACTGGCACAGGAGGAGACTGTCCCTCCTTCAGCATCTGGTGGATTTGAACCCCATGCCTTCGGATGTTTGTTCTTTTGGAAGTCTATGAGAGAGTTAGTACTGTTCTCCAACACCACAGCTCAAAGACATCAATTTTTTTTTTCTGTCATCCTTCTTCATTGTCTAGCTCTGAGACATATAGCAAGTGATCTAGAAGGCCATGGACTGAATCGTGTGTTCCTTAGTCCTCAAACTGACATCAATACTCCTCAGTAATTTAGAAAGGTCCTTGACTTACAGACTTTCCCACTGCAGTGTGTCTCCTGATCTCCTGACTGCTGGCACAAAGTGTAGTGCTTGTGGATCCAAGGAAGATGAAGTTGTTGACAATTTCAATCCTTTCTCCATCTGTTATGATGTTGTCTATAAGTCCAGTGGTAACAACTTTTGTTTTCATGATTTTGAGATGCAATCCAAATTGAAAGCTGTAATCCTCATTCTTCTTCATTTCAGCTTCTAGTAGCCAGCTACCTTTTGAGTTTCTGGACTATCACTGACCTCCACTGTCTTCAGATAATCTCTGCCTTCCTCATGTCTACTTACTTGCCTCTGTGTCTAACACTAATGTATAACAATATTGTATAACAGAGTTGAATTTCCTCAAATGTTTCCTAGACAATAACCTTTATAGGTCCAGAATGTCTTTCTCTATGGAGACTGTATAGATTTGAATTACTGATCTTCTGGTCAATAGCTGAACATTTGACCATTACACCAATAGGATGGACCTTATAGCATGCAATGGAGATTAGGTTTAGGATACATACTGCATTGATAGAACTTAATTAACGTAACAAGTGAAACTCCATTCCAAATAGAATTACATCCACATACATATTGTTGTTAGGTGCCACCGAGTCGACTATGACTCATAGTGACTCTATGAACAACAGCCTTGCCCACTCTTGTACCATCCTCACCACCTCTGACAAGTGTGAGCCCATTGTTACAGTCACTGTGTCAATCCATCTGTTTGATGGGCTTGCTCTTTTTCTCTCACTCACCACCTTGCCTAGCATGATGTCTTTTCCAAGAACTGGCCTCCTCTTCGGACAACATGCCTAAAGTGTGTGAGACAATTTCACCATCCTTGCCTCTAAGAAGTACTCTGGTTGCACCTCTTATAATACGGATTTGTTTATTCTTTTCGCCATCCATAGGATACACAATAGTCTTTGCTAACACCTCAATTCAGAAGCATTGATTCTTCTTCTGTCATCCTTATTGCTCAACTTTCAGATAGATAAGAAGTAACTGAAAATACTATAGCTTGAGTCAGACTTTCCTTCTTAAATAACACATGTGTTCTTTACCACTTTAAATAAGCCTTTTACAACATATTTTCTCAATGCAACACATCTTTTGATTTCTTCACAGCTGTTGCCATGCATGTTGTTTGTGTACCCAAGTAATATGAAGTAATTGACAACATCAATTTTATTTCCATCTATCATAAGGATTTTTGATCTCCTGAAGCTGAAATGCAATACATATTGAGGACTATAGTCTTTGATATTCTGCAACCCTACAAGTTGTCTCCACTTTCTGCAAGCCAGGTTGTGTCATCTACATAATGCAGACTGTGGAGGAGTCTTCCTCCAATTCTGTGCCACATTCTTCTTCATACAGTTCAACTTCTCAAATGATTTTCTCAGCATACAGACCGAATAGGTATAGAGAAATACTACAGCCCTGATCACACATTTCCTGATTTTAAACCATGTGGTGTTCCCTTGTTCTGTCCAGACAATTTCTTCTTGGTCTATGTATATATTTCACTTGTATAAAATTAAATGTTCTGGCATTCTCTTTCTTCTCAATGTTAGTCATAATTTCTTATGGTCCATACAGTCAAATACCTTTAAAATTCAATAAAACATGAGTAAAATATTTTTGGTATTCTCTGCTTTTACAAGAGCCATCTGAAACCAACTATGACATATACCATGTGGAAGGCTGTTAGAATCAGTCTGGTAGGGCTGTGTCAGAAACACAGAGATTGATTCAGGATAGGGTACTGTTCAGAGCTATTGTGCATAAGGTCACTGTGAATTGCATTCTACTCAAGGGCACATAACAACATATATATATTAATATATCTCTTTATATATATGAATGGGACATCGGAATTGGATGAAGACTCATAAACAACCTGTGATGTTCAGATCACACAACTTTGCTTGCTGAACCTGAGGTGAACCTGAAGCATTTGCTTCAGGTCAAGGATTGTAGTCTTCAATATGACTGAAGCTCACCAACAAGGAGACAAAGATTCTCACCACTGGGCCAATTGGCAGAACCATGATAGATGGAGAAGAGATTGAGTTTGTTAACAGTTTCAACTTGCTTGGCTCCACAATCAACACTCCTGGCACCAGCAGTCAGGAAATCAAAAGATGATTGGGGAAGTCTGCTGCCAGGGACCTCTATAAAGGGCTAAGAGTAATGATGTCAGTCTACCAACTAAGATGCCTCTGAAAAATGCCATGATTTTCATAATTTCTTGCTATGCATCAGAGAGCTGGATAATGACTAACAATGACAGTAGAAAAAATGCCTTTGAGTTAGCTGTGGTGCTGGAGAACAGTATTGACCATACCATGAACTGCCAAGAAAACTAGTAAGTCTGTCTTGGAAAAGGTGAAACCAAGTTTCTCCTTAGAAGCAAGGCTATTGAAGGTCTGTCTAACATACTTTGGGCACGTAGCCAGGAGGGACTGGTCCTTGGAGAAGGACATTTGGAAGAGTGGAGGGACAACACAGGAGAGGAAGATGAGATAGATTGACATAGTAACTGGGGATAGGTGTGTCAGAGTCAGAAGACTGGCTAAGAATAGGGCAGACTTCAGAGCCGATGTACATAGGATGACTGTGAGTCACAGGTGACAACAACAACAACAACAACAATATATATTTTCAGAATCTACAAAGTAGGCTCAACAAAAATCTTACCAAAGAACAATTTCAAAAGTTTGGCCATAAAACCATGTGTTCCAAGAAATTTACTGAGACCATAAAAATATTCTTCATTTGGTATCCAAATAGTGTCATTATAGTGATCGTCCTGGGATGGATAATATAGACGCAAGAGGCTTCCCTGTTGAAAAAGGAAATTAATTTTTCTCTCTTTCTCTCTTTTAAAAAAATTTATACTGGTTTATTTATTATTTATAAAGTTCCTATACCTTGTTCACACGAGATCTTTCCCATTTCCTTCACTACCCTCCCACTATCAAATTGTGTGACCCTATGATTATCTCCACCTCCCATCCTCACCTCTCTGGTTCCACCCTCTCCCCCCACCTTGGATTCTCTAGCCATTTTACAATAATGGTTTCATACTGCATTTGTCCTTATGGGACTGAGTAGTTAGGAAAGAAATATATTTTTAAGAAGTTGTTTCTCAAATATATTCCAATAGCTATTCCACATATTAATCAGTGAGGAGTCAAATACTCTGTCAGCTAAACCCAAATCACTACCATCAAGTTGATTTCAGCTCATGGCATTTCTGAAGCTACGAATCATTATAGGAGGGAGACAGCTTATATTTTTTCCACAAAACAGCTGGTGGGTTTCAACCATCAACCTTTCAGTTATCAGTACTCTATAACAGAGCTCCATAAATACTCTGTCGTCTATAAAGAGAGTCAGAGAACAGTTTGAGCTGCTGTGGTGATTGAAAACCACCATGAAAGAGATATAGAACAATGTGCTTTCTAAGTGAAAAGAAATTCTAGGAATCTGGCTTCATCATTAAGGAAGACGAAAATATAGAGAGGCTGCAGATAGTCATCAAGAGAGAGCAGCAAAGAATTGGAGAGTGGCCAAACTAGCAAAGAGCCTCTTACGAAGTAACACAAAAAGCAAAAGAAGTCATTCTAAAGTGAGGACAGTGTTAAGTTCCAACAACAGGTAGTGGGACACGGAAACTCAAATCAATACCAACTCTACTGACTTGGAGTCAATTCTGAGTTTCTGAAGCTACAAATCTTGATAGGAGGGGATTGCTTCATCTCTCTCCTGTGAAGTCCTTAGGGGAATTCAAATCACCAACCATTGTTTTGCAGCTCCACGTGTAACCCATGAAGCCTGAGTCATAGCTGAGTTCCTGGGATGCAGCAGTATTAAACACATTTAAGGGTAAGTTGTATTTGTTAAAGTGTTACCTTATTAGTGTAATTAAACATCAAGTCTGTAGAGCCAACAGAATAAGGTCCACTTCCTTCGGGAATCTCCGTTTTGCCGATGCTGTCATAACCCATCAAGTTTTGTATTTCATGGAACCATACTGGGGGAAAATAAACAAAGAGGTAAATAATAATTTCATTTATCATCAGTTACACCCTAGGCTTCATTTTGCAAAGGAATTAAAAGAGTATCAGGGTAACGTGCAGGGTTTCTGGTCTACTTCCTTTCTTTATCTGACAGATAAAAATGTATGTAATTATTTCAGGCTTGGAGGATAAAAAAATCAAGTGTGACATAGACCTTCTTATGAGACATTTAAGATCCTTAATACTTAAAAACTTTCCCTCACTTTCTACTCCTATCTAGATTATACTGAAAACTATCAGATCTATTTTCTGTAAACATAAACTTTATCCTGCATTTTGACTTGAGCTTCCAATTTTCCATTGGCCACTTCTATCCTGATGTTTTCCCCAGAGTGACGTCAAAGCCAGTGGTCCAAAATGAAATTAAATGACCATTCCTGACTCAAGTTTCTCAGTCTCCCCCTATGTAGCCTGCACTTCTAGAATCTCTACTGAGGGATCCCACAAATCCCGGAATCATTTTCACTCATCTGTCTTTCCCACCAACTTCCTATTTCCAACAAAGTTGCAAATATTCGTGTTTATCTTAGAATTATTATTTCTCCAGTACATCCTGACCCTCTGACTCCACTGCCTCATTTAAACCCTAATTATCTCTTAACAGACAATTGTCTTCTTTCCTAATTGACCACCAGGCAATGGTTAAAATTCTTCACAGGATGTCAAGTCTTTCCAGGAGCAGGAATGTATGGAAACTTTCTTGGAAGGCAGTTGGCAGATGAAGTGAAATCCAGGCATGCCCTCTCCTCAGCCAAGATACAGTCACTGAGGCACAGATGTAACCAGCTCTCCTCGAGCTGATGATGACCTCCTGGTGTCACAGCTGAACTGCTCCACGGGAGTTTCACAGCTGTGACTACTCAGATACAGATCACCAGGTTTTTGTTCCAAGGTTCATCTGAGATGGTTCAAACTGTTGTTGTTGTTGAGTACTATTGAGTTGGAACTGAGCCATAGCTGACCCTCCAGTGGGTTTTCAGAGGCAGGTAATGTCATGGGAGGAGACTGTCCATCCTTCTCTCATGGAGCAGCTGGTGGCCTCAAACCATGTGTCTTAAGGATTGCACACCTTTTGCCCCCAGGCCACCAGAGAGCCCTTGGTTCAAACCAACCTCTCATTTATCAGCCAATTAACTACATTAACTACTACTCAGAGACTCATTCTGGTGTTTTGGAATTGAAGTGCATTGATAATCACAGATACACAAGTTGCAGGACATTTGTCAGAAAATCCTCCACAGTCTGGAGGGCCGCTGTCTTGCACTCCTCTCCTGCTTCTCTCCCCTTTAGAGAGCATCCTTCCAAGTGCCCCAGCCCTCCTGACCTGCACACCGGGCTATGTGACGCTCTGCACTTTGTAAACACTATTCCCTATGCTCGAGAGCTCCCTGGCAAACTCTTAATCAACCTTTAGCACCTTGATCCAATGCCATGTCTTCTCTGAAGCCCTCCCTGAATGCACATACAGAATTAACCAGTTCAGCCTCAGCATTGCAAGGATACACTTTAAAAACAAACAAACAAACAAACAAACATTCTATCACATTCTATAAAAATTATTTACATTATTTCCCAAACTTGGCTATGTTTCAAGACACAGATCCTTGACTTTGGATTTTGACATCTTAATACGATGTCCAGCACACAGTAGGTGTTCAGTAAACACTTTGCTTCTCACTACAGTTGGTCCCTCCAGTTCTTCCCTCAATCTTTGTCTCATATGTGTCCTTTGACTCATAACTACTCCTGAAACTGCTCTTCTCTTTGCTAGTGCCAAACCCTTCCACACACCTGAAGCTTTCTCATTTCTCAAAGTTCTTCTCTTCTGAAATTTGTCTCCTTTTAAAATCCTGGTCAAATGCTCATTTTATGTCAAGATGTTGTTTGTTGTTGTTATGTGTCTTCGAGTCACTTGCAACTTGAACAATGCACAACAGCTCTAAACTCTGCTCTGTCCTGTGCCAATCTCATTGTCTCCGATACACTCATCCTGATTGCCCCAGTCACCAAATCAATCCACCTCCCAGAGGGCCACTCTCCCAAGCATGATCTCCAAGGACCGGTTCCTCCTTACAACATGACCAAAGTATGTCAGATGAAGTCTCAGAATCCTTGCCTCCAAGGAGCAGCCTGGCTTAACCCTCTCCAAGATGAATCTGTTTGTTTTCTTAGCAGTCCATAGTACCCTCAGCACTCTTCTCCAACACCAAAGCTCAAAAGCATCAATTCTCCTTCTATCCACCCTGGTCATTGTCCAGCTCTCTGATGCATCACAAGCGATTGCAAAGACCATGGCCTATACCAGACGCACCTTAGTTTCCAGAGACACACCATTGCTTTTCAGTACTTTAGAGAGGTCCCTAACAGCAGACTTTCCCATCTATGTCAAGATGTTAGGGAGTCCAAATATCAGTATTTCCAGAACCTCAATTTTTTCTCAATCCATCATCCAGGCCATGTCTTCCTCAGTACTGGATTGTGGGAGTGGAGTGCCTGCCCTGTTGGACGGAGTCCCTTGGATGGGCCATCATGCTCTGCCTCTGCATGCAGTCACTAAGATCCTTGTTAGGTCTGATATCTATGTTTTTATCATGTGCCATCACTCAGAAAGGCTCTGAGTCATTTAAAGAACTCTATTTACATGCTCTACACAGATGAGTCATGTGTTAAGCACTTGTCAGTCACAAAGCCTTTCAATATAGTAAAGACTTTGTCACTCAAATCTTTGGAATAGCCTTGAGGTCTGTGGACCAGCACCAACTGGAAAACGTAGACTCTTGGCCTTTCATTTCTATTCTACCAAATCAGAAAAGTTGCCTCCATTGAGGATGAAGAAGCATCTCACTAAATCACCAGGCCACTGATCTGAAACTTAGGTCAGCAATCCTCTTCAGCAAGGTGAGATGACTTAATGCTGTATATTGGAGCCAGATGATCTTACTTCCAATTCTAGATGTGCCTCTTAGAAACTATGTTACTGCTTGTATCATACTTACAAGCTATGCCTTGGCAGTTTATACCACCTCTCTTGTGGTCAGAGACCAGTGCAGGACAGCTATAAAAATGAAATTATAATATAGGTCAAGTACCTACCTAACATGTAACAGGTGGGCAGTAAATAATCTCTTTCTCTGGTTTGTTAACTCTTGCTACCTGAAAGCATAATGGATTCTTTGGTGGAATTGGAGCAAATCAGGAAAAATTATAAATTCCCTTTAAGTGAATTCAGAATTTTTAACTGCCAGTGTTGCTGTTGGGGTTTTGTGTTTTGTTTTGTTTTTTAAACTTTACCAATTAAGGCTATTTTTTTTTAACCTGTGAGGCTAGTATTTCAGAATCTATTTAGAAATCTGAAAGGCTCTTTCTCACGTGTTAAAGACTTTTCAGTGTGCCACTTTTCATGGTGTCAATGGGAGGTACCAGATCCCGAGGACAGCTGGGCCATGCCTGCCTTCTATTCCAGGGGCAAGCAGCCTGCAAGCTGTGACCTCCCTCTACGGAGAGGCATGACCTGGCTGTGAAGGAGTTGTTGGGAGACCTCCAGAGCACACAGCTGCAGAGAACTACAGCTGCCTTGAGGGGAATTGCGTGTTCAATTTCAGAGCCAAGAGAGTGTTCCAGCTGCACAAAGCTCCTCTTGTGAGGCTCAACTCCATCTGAGCTGAGACTCCTTTCCAATTAACTAGTGTCCTGGTTCGACATCAGCTCTATCTGAGATGCCCCTTCCCTCAAAATTCAAAAGTCGCAAGTCAAGCTGAGACTTTAGGTCTGCCTTTTCCAAGACACATGTCCTCTCTATGAGGTCTAATGCTTTCAAGAAACTTCCAGCTCACCCAGGTATGGGTGTACGGAGCCCTGGGCCTGGCTGCTGTCAGAAGATCTGCAGAAACACTTCACCGCCTGCAGCAAGCGCAGCCATGACACTGAACTGCCCCTTCTTTAACAGTCTACCAGTTGTCATTAAAAGAAAAACTTTCCAGGGTAAACGGTTGCTTTCTCGATACTATAGTTTTGAGGTTAGAATTTAGAAATATCTCTTCCTATTATTTTCTTTAGCTTTATTTTCATGGAAACATTGGAACCTAGTGGCCTACTAACTTTAATTACACACTTTAGGCACCTTGTTAAGGAGGCCAGTCCTTGGAGAACGACATCAGCCTTGGAAAGGTAGAGGATCAGCATAAAAGATAAAGACCCTCAACACGATAAATTGACAGAGTAACTGTGGCAAGAGACTCAAGGGTGTTGGAGATGGTGAGGATGGAACAGAATAGTGCAAGTTCCAGACCCAGTGTTCATAGGGTCTCTGTAAGTCACAGGTGAACTGATGGCATTCATAACAACAATATATCTGTTATAATTGTTTGATATTCAATCTTAGGTTTAGAACTGAATTGTATAAAAACTAGAAAAATTACAAACTCTTGTATGCCTCCATACCATATCTTAGCAAACAGAGGAGCTCTGGTGGTCTAGTGATTAAGGAGTTGTGCTGCCAACTCAAAGACAGGTGGTTCGAATCCACTAGCTGCTTCACAGGAGAAAGATGAACAATTTCCTTCTATAAAATCTCCTTTCCTTGAAAATTCAGTGGAGCTGTGCAATCATTTTGACATGATGGCAATACGTGAGTGAGATTAGAAAATAAAATCTCTCTAGTCCATACTTTTGGAAGCAGGAGTGAAAAGTGACATCCACTTCCTAAAACAACATGCCTCTGGAAACTCTATGAACTTTGATAAATGACAGTAGTTACAAAAAGGCTTTAGGCCTTTTGTTCATAGGGTCGCTATGAGTCGTGCTCGACTTGATGGCAATCAACAACAACAACAACAGTCCATACTTAGAAACATTTCACCATGGCACATCCCAACAACACAGTGAAAATGAATGGATGTTTATGAATGAATTATGTATCACTTGATGTCCCTAACCTCAAGTTTCTTCAGCCCCACGAAAACTTCCAAATACTAAACATGAGGAGATAAAAACACGTCTTAAGATTCCCACCAAGTACCAGGAAAAAGTGAATTATTTCAATACTTCCAAATATTTAAATTTAAGAGGCAAAGTGCCTTACATATAAAAAGTTATAGGAAAACAAATGAACTCAATTTCAACTAGATCCCAGTTTCCATGAGGTTGCCTGCCAACACTCAGCTTCTCACGCATGTCTTTGGTTCTCCAAACATGTTACCAAATGAATAAACCCAATAATAATATTATCCCATTTCTTTTGCAAATGTTGATAGAAGATATGGTAGGGTGGTTTGTTGTTGGGTGGTTTTTTTTGTGTTTTTTTTTTAACACGTTCATTTCCTAAACCACAAAGTAGGGCAGGGATTAGTTATAGCTCACTGAGTTATGAAAGCTCTTCTGTCGATGGTATGCTAAGGAGTCATGAGCAACTAGAACAACTCGATCCAGGGTGGCCACATCTACCCAGGTGTACAGGTCTGTGTGCAGAGATGGGGTGATGCCATCCAGGGCCCACCTACACTGCTGCCATTAGGAAACCAGAGAGAGAAGGTCACGCAACAGACCTCTGAGATCAACAGGGGTTCCTGAGGCTCCAGAAGCCTTCTTAGCAGCAGTAAAGCCCTTCTGTCTAGATATGGCTGTCGGCTCTGGCCACTCCTCCTACACTTATCTATGCCTTATCTACCTCTTTTCTTTACCTCTCAGCACAAAGTACGAAGGAACAATCGAGGAAGGTCAATTCTCCTAGGGGAAAAAAAAAAAAAGGAACTTCGGAATGTCTATTTGTTCCTATGTCTCTGTTACTACTCAGACAAGGCTGCTTTCCCCTAGAACACAAGACCCTAAGTTGCCATCTTCTTACACCATCACCACTATGAACCAGGACCCCTGGTGATCAAGACGCTCACCCCTTCCTCACCTCTGTAGAAACAGGTTTTCAGGTTGCCTTTAAGTGAACTGCATGGTTGCTGTGCGGCACTGGCCTTGAGTGGGAGTGACTAGGGCTTTGATACAGGAAAGTACTTTTTTTGTTGTTGTTTAATTGAAGGATTTCTGCACGGTGGTTGCAAGCTGCAATTACAGTTCATCTTAAAATGTCACACTCTAGGGAGCTTTGGTGGCCTAGAGGCAAGAAGCGGCACTGTAATCCTGAAGTCTTGTGGTTCAAATCCATTAGATGTTCCGCTGGAGAAAGAGGGGCAATCTCCTCCTGTGCCAGTCGGATCTGAGTCAACGGTATAAGACAAGGGGGGAAAATGTCTCACTCTGGTTTTATCCTTCCATTATGATATTAAAGAAGTGAGGAGCATCATTGGCCGCAGATGGTGCGAGAAGAAAAGTGATGTTCTCACCCATACCCGAGGAGGACCTGCAGTGTCTTCACAACTTCCTCTGGTAGACCCACCTCCTGGTAGACCACATGCAACTCCTCTGGGACCACAAGCTGACATGGTGCTTGCTCAAGCTTTTAAACAAATGCACATCTTACCTGAGGATTTAATGTGGGCAGCGCGATTTAGGTCTGGCCAGCCGAAAGGATAAACCAACGCAAGGCAGCTGCACAGGAAGAAGAATGCAGGCAACTTGGATAACACCATCTCAGGCCTATCAGTGGCTTTGGCTTACTGGTAGAATGCTAAAAGAGACAGAGAGGGGGGAAAAATCATGTGGTAAAGAGAATTTATGTACTCTGGCAAATCAATGAGAATGAGGCTTTACATATTAAAAAGGAAGAAGTCATTTGAGGCAAATAGAAGACTATGCATTTTATGGTCTGAGGTGTGGATAGGCACAAGGGTCGGGGAAGTCGCCAGTAATGACCACAGAGCACGGAAACTACACTGACCTTTACGTAAATGCATTAGTCCTTTCGTTACTAGTTCTCTAATTTTTCAGTAGTCTAGCTTGGTAATAGCATTGCAACCAAGTAATAATTGACCTAGTGGCAAGAAAGCTGCACTGTGATCCTGAAGGCAGGTGGTTCAAGGCCACCAGTTTCTCTGCGGGAGAAAGATGGGCAATCTCTTCCTGTGTGATTAACTGCCTCTGAAAACCCACCAGAGGGTCAGCTATGGGTCGGTTCCAACTTGACAGTACACAACAACAACATCATATAATTATAATCATGATAAATAAATCTCATGTCTATAGAGACATAGGGAGCTCTGGTAGCTTAGCAGTAAGGAGTTTTTCTGCCAACCCAAGGGCATTTAGTTCAAATCTACCAGTTGTTCTGTGAGAGAAAGATGAGCACTTTGCTCCTGAGCAATCTACTGCCTCTACAAACCCACTTCAGGGCCATCTATGAGTCAGTTATGACTCAAGGATACACCACAACAACATAGACATAAGACTGGAATATAAGAAAGATGTTTTATTATCATTATAACTATAAAGTGATTACGTTACTTGTGGTGTTGGTGGTATTGATTTTGAGGACAGTGGTAAGAGCTGCAGTCCCAGAGTCATGAGGTTCGAATCCACATGTGAGAAGGATGGGAAATCTCCTCCCATGCAACGTACTGTCTCTGGAAACCCACTGGAGGGTCAGCTATAGGTCAGTTCTGATTCAATGGCACAAAACAACAACAACAATGGTAATTTGAATATACAATAAGCTTCCCAACAAAAGGAAAAGGCTAGGACTTACTTCTTGTTCTCAATGCCTAGCAGAGACCTGGTACTCAGCAGATGCTTGCTTGCTTGCTGAATGAATGAATAAATGAATGCAGGAATAGACAATCAAACTCCTCTCACTATTACTGAAAAGAACGATTTTGCATTTCTTTCTCCTTTTAGAATCTGTCCATCCAATTTTTTGATGTGCTGGAAAATTGAATATTGGTCTTTTTCTAACTGGTAAATGTCTTTCATTTACTCTTTTCTGTAGAATGCTTGTCTGTCAGATATTATTATATATATTTAAAAATTGAGACAGACTAGGAAGAAGGATTGGCCATCCACTTCTGAAATTACAGGCCTTCGAAAACCCTATGTACAATAGAGCAATACCCACATTACTACCATCTCTAATTTGGTTTATGGCAATAACCTTTAACTAGTCTCCCTGCTTTTACCCACACCCCTGTAATCTACATATAGCTTAGCAGCTTGGGGCATTAGTGATCCAGTGGTAGAGCGTGTGCCATCTGTGTTGAGGACCTGGGTTCAATCCCTGGCCATTTCACTTAGTGCACAGGCACTGCCTGTCTGTTGGTGGAGCTTACATGTTGCTGTGATGCTGAAGTCACAAAGGGCTAGCTAAGGGTTCAGCGGCAACGAGGAAGGTCCTTTTTGTCCCACAGCTGCATACTGAGGGATAGAAATCACTGATGAAGGATTCCTGAAGTTAGGAAGGGAAGGTTTTTCCTGGATCTGACTCCTCATGGATCCCAAAGGAGAAGGCCTCCGGTCCCCTAAGCAGTAAGGCTGCAATGAAATGGATTGGCACACAGACTGCAACAATAGACTTAGATGCTGCAGAGATTAGAAAGACAGCAGGGGTGGGAAAAGGTGTCATTCTGTTGTGCACAGGGGTGCTATGAGCAAGAGTCAACTCTCCAGCACCTTACAACAACAACATGATGGCTAGTATGCTCCAGGAGGGCTTCCAGACCAAGAGAGAATAGGAAGAAAAGCCCATGATCTACTTCTAAAATCAGCAAATATAAACCTCTGTGGGTCAGAATGGTGAGATTGTATCTTATCAAAGTAAGAGCCAGAAATGACAGCATTTCATTCTATTGAGCATGACCACAGCTAATTACAACAGAAAATAAGGGGAGAGCAGCACATTTTAGCACCTTCATTCTTCACTAGAGGAATGACTAGGGAGGATAGAAGAATTGATGCCTTTGAGCTGTGGTGCTGGAGAAGAGTATTGAGGGTACCAAGGACTGCTAAGAAAACACACAGATTCATCCTGGAGAGGGTTAAACCAGACTGCTCCTTGGAGGCAAGGATTCTGAGGTTTCGTCTGATATACTTTGGTCATGTAAGGAGGGACCAGTCCTTGGAGAAGAACATCATGCTTGGGAGGGTGGAGGGCAGGCGCAGGAGGGGAAGGCCCTCTATGAGGTGGATTGATTCAGTGACTGGGGTAATCGGGATGACCGTGTTGGAGACAATGAGATTGGCACAGGACAGAACAGAGTTTAGGGCTGTTGTACACAGGGTCTCTATGAGTCGCAAGCGACTCGATAGCACATAACAACAACAACATGCAACCTGCCTGAGATCACACAGAAAACCTGGGTAGAACAGACTGTCCTCCTTTTACTCTAAGTGATACAAGGAGTCAAATGGGATCCCACGCTTCTCACCACCTTCCTAGTGTCACCAAATAAATAGTTCTCCGCCACTGCCTCTGCCCAGAGGGCTGTGTGGGTTGGAAGTATGTGCTAAGACTATCCCCAGGCTGCTGGTAAAACAGCTATGTCCCAGGGAGCGAGTTACCCTCACTGAAGGATTCCTGCAGGCAAGAAGGGAGGTCTATTCTGGATCTCAGCCCTCGTGGATTGTAAAGGAGAAGAGAGATCCCTGTCTATGCAGTCCAGGTTGCAAGGGCAACACATGGCAGGCTGCTTCCTCTTTGCATGACTCCGTTCAAGCCCCTAAGCAGATGCTCTTGAATACTCTGTTTTCTAGAATTACTTAGTCTAAGAACTTTTCAAGGGCAGATATGGAACTTCTTAAAGACAGGGATTGGTCTACATTGTATTTGTATTTCTAGGACTTAGCAAAGACCTGGAAAATACAAACTAGTTGTCTTTGAATTCATTCTCTCAAGACAACCTCTGTATGCTCCACAAGGTTTCCAACGGGAGTGTGGTGTATCGTTAGGGACTTGTGCTGTTGTCTCAGAAGTGGCTCATCTCTGATGTCTTTGAACTGTGGTATTGGCAAAGAGTATCGAATGTCCCCCATGGACGGGCAAAAAACAAACAAGTCCATCTGGAGGAAGTGTAACCAGGATGATGTACTTAGGGCCAAGGTTGGTGAAACTTCTCACATACTTTGAACATACTGCCAGTTCTTGGAAAAAGACATTGTGGGTGAAAAAAGAGTCATTTAAAGACAGAAATCCACGAGCTGTTCTAAGGGAGGGAGAAAGATAGGTAATCTCTTGTATGATTTGTTGTTATATGCCATTGAGTCGCTCGTTACTCATAGAGACCCTAGGTACAACAGCTCTGAACCTGCCCTATCCTCAACCAGTCTCACTGACTCCAACAAACCTAATTCCATCACCCTAGTTATCATGTCAGTCTCTCTGATTTGGTGTCTTTCTCTCTTTCTCTGTCTCTCCACCCTTCCAAGCATGATGTCCCTCTCCAAGGACTGGTCCCTCCTGGCCATGTGCCTAAAGCATGTGAAACAGAGCTTCAAATTCTTTGCCTCCAAGGAGAAACTTCGTTTCACCCTCTCCAGTACAGACCTATTTGTTCTCCTACTGGTCCATGGTATGTTCACTATTCTTCTCCAGCACAACTCAAATGCATCGATTCTTCTTCTGTCATCATTAGTCATCCTGGCCAGCTCTCTGATGCATAGCAAGTAATTGCAAAGACCATGGCCTCAATCAGGGGCATCTTGGTCTCTAGGTTGACATCAAGGCTCTCTAGCACTTTTGACTTCTCCAGTGCAGTTTGTCTTTTGATTTCCTGACTGCTGGCCCTGATTGTGTTGATTGTGGAACTCAGCAAGCTTAAAGTGTTAACATCAATCTTTTCTGCATCTATCATAGTGTTGCTAAATGCCCCAATAGTGAAAATCTTTGTCTTCTTGATGTTGATTTGTTGCTGTGTACTGTAGTCAGAACTGACCCATAGCTGACCCTCCAGCAGGTTTTCGGAAGCAGTTAATGGCATGAGAGGAGATTGCTCATCCTTCTCCCGGGGAGCAGCTGATGGCCTTGGACCACGTGCCTTCGGGATTGCAGCATGGCTTCTCGACACTTGGTTACCAGCCTCAAAAAATCCAATGAATGTCAACTATAAGTCAGTTTCAACTTGATGACAATGAGATTTTAGTTTTTTGAGAATATTTGGTAAGAGCACCAAGAGGCCCTTATTTTGATGAAATTGTTGATAGAGCTGAACGTCCAACCTTTCAGTTAGAAGCAAGAGACCTTAAGCATTTGCACTTGAAGGTCTCTGGAAAATAGCAAGGCTCAGTAAATGCTTCTTGAATGAAAATGTCAAGAATTCTTCTTTTTTTTTTAAAAAAAAATGAGTCCAAAGTAGCTCAGAAGCACATTCCCAGATGGTATCACTCAAGGTTGTGGATGTAACTCCTCTCAGTACATGATAGCAATCCTCAGATTCAATTCCAGCATCTAGAATTCTGTTTCCCTGGTCCCAACCATGATATCCACAGTGTGACCTCCCATTAACTATCTTTCTGTGTCTTGTTTCATCACCATAAAAATGGACATGAGGATGAGCATAGTATTTTCCAGGGTTAAATATTGAAAGCATATACCATATTTTGTATGTTGGTATTATTATCACCAAGTGCGAGCAGCTTGACCACGACTCGTATGACTAAACGAACCACTGATCTGAACCTTGCTCTATTCAGAGGCACCCTCACAATC